GCCGCCCCGATTGCTCTGCAGAGGGGCGGGATATAAATAAAAATTATTCTTCTTCTTATTATTATTCATACATGTATATATATATCCTTTTTGTTTCTTAATAGCCCTGTTCTGGCTACACTAGTAAGATTATCATGCACTTGAGTTCACTATCATCATATGCAAGTGTCACAAAATGTTGCAGTTTGAAGTGTTGCTGTTCAGGTTCCAGCAAGCCAGCAATGCCCTTTTCCAGTAATTTCATTCTAGCCCTCACCTGGCTTTCTGTCTTGACACATAACTCAGTGTTCTATAGCCAGTAAGTATTCTCAGTCATCATTGTTGGGTGTTGGATTTTTTTTGTTTTGTTCCCTTAGGGCTATTTTATTTCTTTCTTTCTTAAATCTGCAAACCTTGACATTTCTTTAAACTTGCTGATACCTTCCTCTTATTTTTGAAAGTCTTGGTAGGTCCTTGGATAATGTGTTTGGTCATAATGTATAGGTTGTTGATAGAAAACATTTCCTTAGGACATGTTATCAAATAGTTAATGTTCATTGCTTTGACATGTGCCAGGATGCAACTGGCTGTGATCCCAAACAGCTATTTTAGTACTAACCAATGACTTGGCCTTATCCTGGGGATTTTTAAACTTACAACATTTCCCCTGATGCAATATTACAAATCTATTTTCAAAAGAGCATTGCCACATGATTCAGGGCTACAGTCTGAGAATGAAAAGTCCGGATCCCTCATGAATGTAGAGAATTCATTGCACAGTGCTTTGCAGTCGCCCTCTCACCATCCATTGGCCTATCTGCAAACAGTGTATATTTTGAATGAAGGCAAGGGACCATGGGGCCCTCCATATATTGTCAGGCTCCAGTTCTCATAAACCCTACCAAATATAGCTAATGATGAGGGCTGATGAAAATTGTAATCCAACAACATTCCCCATTCCTGTCTTAAATATATCCATGCCATAAAGGTAAAGGTAAAGGTCTTTCCCGTTGACAAGGTTGTTAGGTCATGTCCGACCATAGGGGGCAATGCTCATCTCCATTACTAAGCCGAACAGCCAGTGTTGTCAGAAACTACTCTGTGATCATGTGGCCAGCATGACTGCACAGAACACTGTTTACCTTCCCACTGAAGTGGTATCTATTTATCTACTTGCTTTTGCATGCTGCTAGATTGGCAGAAGCTGGGACTAGTGACAGGGGCTCACCCCATCATGCAGCACCCAGGCCTCAAACTGCCAACCTGCTGATCTTGCAATCAACAGAGTCAGCATCTTAACCACTTGAGCCACTGCATCCCATTGTTTGTTGTTGTTGATTATTATTATTATTTTAATATCTACTATTTTAATAATATTTAAATGTATTTAAAACATTTTAAATTGTGTTTTTATAACTTTTTAAAGTGTTGTGTGTGTATATAATTGACCCTTGGTATCCACTGGGGTTTAGTTCCAGGACACGCAGTGAATACCAAAATTTGTGGATGGTCAAGTCCCATTAAGGTTTGCTTTTTGGAATATATATATATATATATATATATATATATATATATATATATAATAAAATATTTTCTAGCCATTGAATCTGTGGATACAGAAGGCTAACTGTATATGCCTGCAAGTTGCCTGATGACTTACGGAGACCCCATATATTTCATAGGGTTTTCTTAGGCAAGGATTACCTGCCTTTTTTTTTTTTTTGCCAGTTCCTTCCTCTGAAATTTAACCTATAGTTCAATACTTGGGATTTCTGTTGATCTCCCATTCAAATACTAACCAGGGCTGACTCTGTTTAGCTTCCAAGATCAGCCAGGATCTTTAGACTATTTAGCAATAATGTTTAATTCTGTTTTAAATGTTGATCTTTTGTTTGATTTAATTATATTGTATTCATTTTTATAATAATAATAATAATAATAATAATAATAATAATAATAATAATGAATAATAATTATATAATAATTATATTGTATCCATCGGGCCTAAAATAAGAAGAGCCCTCCCTCCATTACCATCTGATGTCATCTGTGGGAGAGACACTAAGCCCAGCACCATTGGGCCTAAAATAATAAGAAGAGCCCTCCCTCCATTACCATCCGATGTCATCTGGGGGAGAGGACACTAGGCCCAGCACCATCGGGCCTGGAATAAGAAGAGGAGCCCTCCCTCCATTACCATCCGATGTCATCTAGGGGAGAGACACTAGGCCGAACACCATCAGGCCTAAAATAAGAAGAAGAGCCCTCCCTCCATTACCATCCAATGTCATCTGGGGGAGAGACACTAAGCCCAGCACCACCCAGCCTAGAATAAGAAGAACCCTTATTTCTTAAAGGATGGGTGGGATTCGGGATTTTATGTTTTGTTTAATGGAAATTGTAATGTTGTAAGCCGCCCCGATTGCTCTGCAGAGGGGCGGGATATAAATAAAAATTATTATTATTATTATTATTATTATTATTATTATTATTATTATTATTATTATTTTAATTTGTAAACTGCTTTGAGTCCTGTTTTTTGGGGAAATGGCATGGTATAAATAATAACAACAACTGTGATAGAAAAAGAAATACTGTATTTCCAGTGGTGATAGGTGCACTGGGAGCAATTCCAAATGGACTTGCTGCATGAAATTACTACCATGCTTCCTACATTTCCTACATGTAGGAATAAAATTAGTTCCATATTTCCTACATTCCTTTGTTCTATTGCCATTCAGATTATGGAATTATAGCACTATGATTCCACTTTAAGTGTCATAGTTCTGTTGTATGGAAACTTGGGATGTAGAGTTTAGGGAGGGACATTTATGATTCTCAACCAGAGGGCTCTAGTGCCTCACCAAATTACAAATGTTAGGATTCAATAAAATGTTGTCATGGCTGTTGAAATAGAATACAGTTGGCCCTCCATATTGATGGATTCTTTATCCACAGATTCAACCATCTATGGCAGGGGTAGGCAACCTTTCCCTTTTAAGGGCCGAGGGACTTCAACTCCCAGAAGCCTCAGCCATGTTGGCCAATAGTCCCATGTTGGCCAATAGCTCCTGGGATTCTGGGAGCTGAAGTCCCTTGGCCCTTAAAAGGGAAAGGTTGCCTACCCCTGATCTATGGCTTGAAAATATTCAAAAAATATAAATTCTAAACAACAGACCTTGATTTTTCCATTTGACATAGGGACACCATTTTACTACGCCATTATATTTAATGGAACTTGAGTGCAGCAGATACCAAGGGCACACGGTATAGCTTTATAATTGTGTACTGTGAATGTGCCCCAGATGGTCAAGATATCCAAGAAAAAACTATAGAAGCAATTGCCACTTACCTAAGGGCTTGCAGGATCTGGGAAAAGCAGTGGAAGACAGGGATTCTTGGAGATGTCTCATCCACAGGGTTGCCATGAGTTGGAACTGACTCAAGGGCAGCTAACAACAATATTCTTAACAGGGTTAAAAATGTTTTAGTGATTGATTATTTGAAATCAATCAAATGATTGGGATTTGGATCGTTTTAACTGTTGTATTTTAATTGTTGTACGCCGCCCCGATTGCGACGCAGAGGGGCGGGTTAGAAATAAAACTTATTATTATTATTATTATTATTATTATTATTAATCCTGGTCATGATCACAGTCCTTTCCTTTAAACATTACATTTGATGTGCTGGTTCCATTTGATCTTAAAACCAAATTTTCATTAACAGGTTCTGGTTTATTTCAGTCTACAGAACAATGCCTCATCTGGGTAAACTTTTAAAAATATTACCAACTTTCAAGCATTTCATAATGAAATGTCAAATGTGAAATAAACCTCATAAAACAATAGTCTCTCAGTGAACACTTTCATACAAAACTAATTGTAAATATCAGGGCTTCATTAATAGAGAAGGCTGTCATTTTATCACAGTCAGGATCCTCCCATAAGACAAAGCTGCCATGGATATTTATCTTAATAGACTTTCCATTGTGAAACATGAAATATTAATGGAAAACTTCAGGGTTCAAACTGGGAAAGCAAAGATTGCACTAGGATTTTTTTTTTTAAAAAACAACTCTGTTGTTTCATTTGTTTTCTTATACCTGTCACTGGATCCCAGTATTCTGCAGTCATATTCACTTATTTTTATCTGCTTTGTGCTGTGGTGGTAACTGGACCTTTAACAATGTTATAGTATGTTCTTGCCTTGTAAAAGGAGTGCTCCTTGTTCATAGTTCCTTGCAGTCACCCTTGCCATCCTCCATGACACTATAAAGTCAAGTGTTGTTGTTGTTGTCTGCCTTCAAGTCATTTCCGACTTATGGTGACCCTAAGGCAAACCTATCATAGCGGTTTCTCGGCAAGATTTGTTCAGAGGAAGTTTGCCATTGCCTTCCCCGAGGCTAAGAGTATGTGTCTTACCTAAAGTCCCCCATTGGGTTTCATGGCTGAGCTGGGATTCAAACTCTGATCTTTAGAGTCATAGTCTAACACTCAAACCTTTGTGCCATGCTGGCTCTCCAAGTCAAGCCATAGAATCATAAAATCTTAAGAATTGGAAGATGTTGCAAGTGCTACTTAGTCTGAACCCTTGCCATGCAGAAATAAAGCATTCCATCCAACCTCTGTTTAAAGACCTTGTTTTCTGCTGCTCCAGAGACTAGGTAGTTTATCACATGGGGGAAAATTGGAAGATTAAAATGGTAAGAACCCGTGATTAACTCACAATTGTGCAAATGGTTTCCACATGCAAAGTGCTGTTATCCCATGCAGAATCCAAGATTAACCTGCACTTTCACACAAATGCAGGAATGGTTTTCAGACGACAGGATCAAATGTGTCTTCATCCTGATAATGATTAAAGCGTGTGCATCCCACAAAAGCAAGCAAATACGTAAATGATTTTTACACATAGATTGCGAGAAGGGCACAGAGAGAGAGAGAGAGAGAGAGAGAGAGAGAGAGAGAGAGAG